GGAGAAGCTGCTAATTAAGGAGCAGGTTTCTTAGCCAGCTGCTCCTAACCAAGAAAGCAGTCGTTCATTTTTAAATATCTAGGCTATAAAGAGGGACGCTGAAGTTGTGCAAGTTGTCAGAGAGGTATTTCCTGGTAGAGATGACAGAAAACTGTCATTTGATATTCTGCAACCAGCAATGAACAAACAACATTTTCACTTGATGAGTTTCAAATAGCTTTCTGGGCTAAATACTTTATTTTTTTCATAATTGCAATATCAATAGCCTCACTAATATTTCCCTCCAGTTGTTTAACTGGTGTGTTCCTTCTTTATTTTGTCTTTTATCAGCAGTTCAGATATGTGCTGGAGGTGGGTAGGGGTAGCATCCTTAATACCTTACTCTCTGTTACGAGCGACTGACTATCGGTTTGAGCCAACTGCACGAGGTTCTGTTGCTCCTTAATATCTGGGTGCTTCTGTTTCAGTGGGACGTGCAAGTATGTTCTAAAGTCCTCATCTTAACAAAACATTTGATTTTCTACATACATATTTCTCTCAAACTGAACTTGTCAGCTGCCTTGATTTAAATTATTTTTCCTGAGTTATACAATGGTGATAAAGTTGTACATTTTATATATGCCAGCTACACGTGCTCCCTGGACTAACCTCAGTTTCTCTGAGGGGTGCAAGATTTTTTGCCAGCTGCTCCGGCCAGTTTCAGTCATTAAAAGCTGCTACTGAAGTTTTTATAGATGTTGGGTTCAATCTGGGGTTGCTTAAAACCTGTTTCTATAAACAGAAGTCCTGCAGAGGAATCTCAGACCCCAAGGGCACATCATTCCCTTTCATGCTGTTTGGTTCTTCGTGACAAAATGACTCAAGACCTGTAGTCCTGGTGACATGTGTGACAAGAGCGTGGCTTACAGATAACATTTTTCTTCAGGCTAAGCACTTTGAAGTCTCTATACCGGCATAGTATCCTTGTATTACCAGTAGCCTCAAGAGCTCCTACTTCATTGTTCTCGTCCTCAGCAAAAAGACAAGCAGTTGGAAAGCACCACGCTATTCCTGTCTCTGTTTGGTGGTTGGTTACGCTGACACTGATCATTCATGTACTGCTAGCAAGCAGTAACTCTGGCCTCCATCACCACCAAAACAGTTTCTCGAGTGTTCTGTTTCAGAAGGAGCATCCTCTACCTATTCACCAGCGGGGCAGCATAAATACTGCCGTTTGGTCTCTGTTTCCTGGATCTTCACTCAGAACACGGGGAGCCCTCAGAACCTTGTTGAAACAGCTCTGCAGCTGCTTGATACGAGCACAGCGATGTCATTCAGCCCTACAGACGTGGATTATACTGCTGAAGATTTCAGACTGAAAGCCACAGTGGTGTGTAGCAAGCCATCTTTGATACTGGCTGTAGCCTAGTCACAGTAGCATTGCAGCCCGTGTGGACTCATTTCCTGCAGAAGTGGAGAAGAGAGGTCATGCTGTGGCTGAACTATGCCTGCTCCAGGCCGTTCTGGAGGTAGCACAGTACATCTCCATACTGATCTGCAGTCTGCAGAGGTACTTACCTACGGAATTCAAAGCTAAAAGGGATGGCTGTAATAATCAAGTGAGAATCTACTCTTATCTAGTACTGCTGGGGTAATATGCCACGTAAAATTCTCCTGCCTGAGGCCGAAGCCATGATACCTCTCTCTTTTCTTCCCGCTCTCTTTTATGGACTTTATAAAAATTGCCTCCAGCAATTCCACATATATTAGAGAAGGAAGAAAACACAACATGCAGTGCATCGCTTGAGCATTATGGCACTCCAGGTGTGCATGCCCAGACACAGGGAACTGAAAAGAGGTAGACAAGCATGACTGTGACAAGACTGCCAGAAATTGCACTGGTTATGATTATTGTGAGTCTTTATTGTGAGGCAGAAATGATGCAACAGTGAGAACAGAACTGGTTTATATATGCAGATTTTTATTTATGCTTAGTGACACTGGGATGATGTGAATGGATATATTCAGCAGACCAGAAAATCAAAATTCAGAGGACAAAAAAAATGCTTAATAACTATTTAATTAATTAATCCATTTATTTTGCCAGTCAAATAGCAAAATGGTAATGTGTATTCCGTCAAAGAAGTGATTCTGTATTCTGCCACCATAAGAAATTTTGATAAGTGCGTACCAAAATTAGCTCTCAGCTACACTGATGTAAATTCCCAAACATCTCTGGAGACATGAGCCCATGTATTCCTGATTTATATTAATGCAAAGCTGACTGCAGGAAAAATGCCAATTTGAATAAAATGATTCTGAAGAACATCAAAAGAAAAAAAAAGTTGCTATTGGAATTTAAAGGAATTGATGAGAAGCTATTCATTCATCTCCTTAAACAATTTAAGTTTAAAATTGTACCTCTATAGATAAGATGTGTTCTTACTGGACATTGAGAATCTGCTCCAGTTTCTCCCAGCAAACAGAACGGATGATTTCTGCTTTAAAATGGAGTTTCTATGATCTAAGACAACAATTAAATCCCTACCCGAGAGTCAAGATAGATCACGTATCTGATGGCTGCCTATGAACACGAACTGTTGACTTCATTGATTGCCTGGCCGTAGGAGCACCGTTTATATTTCAAATGCTGGTGTGACCATAGCATTATACAAGAACAGACAAGTGCATTTACATTTACAATCTAATCAACTAGTACAAGGTCGTGCTCCATTTTCTGTACTAAGACCCTTTCAAAGGCTTCAGGTAAGAGGTGTATGAGTGGCTGATAGAGTTCCCGAACACGATTTGCAGTTAGAATCGATCTGTTTCTCTTTCACAATGCATTTCAGCTTAGTCCATGTAGTCATCTCAGCTGTGGTGTGCAGGGTCAGACAACCTTTCCACTTTTATTGACTCTCCCACTGCCCAAACAGGCAGGTCTGAAAAGGTCCCTTAACTTCTTTGCACTATGGCTTCTTTTCTCACGTCTTTCTGGAGTAATGTGATTATAAGACATTTACATTTTTATTCCCTGTAGATGCATCTTTCGTTCAGTATCAGAAAATGGGATTAAGATTTAAGTTTGAACTTCCAAGCGCAACAAGAATGGTGATAAACAGCAGTTCCTTGGCCTGGCTGTAAGGGGACAGGAGCTCTGCAGTATGAATCGAGGTGGCTAAATCTGGACCTATAATATCACGCTGAATAATGCAGTAGTTGTTACTGACCTTGATATCTTAAAAAATATTCCCCTCTGATATGTGTGAGGAAATGCCTTTGTATCATCTTTTTTTTTTTTTTTTTAAACCTCACCCGATCCAGTAAGCCTCTCAATCAGCTAAAAAGCCTTCATCCTAATAAGGTGTTATCGCGTTCCTACTCATCTTTGGTAACTTCATCTCCATCCTGCAAAGGTGAGAAAGAGATGGGGGCTCAAACGGGATTGTACAGACTGTTAGAGACGATCTGAGAGAGCTTTTTTTTAACGATTCGATAATTCTATGATATTAACTGTACTTTGGGTCTAGTTTGGCAGAATTATTAACAATAACTGTGAGTTTTATAGAGGTGGCCAAATTCCACCTCTGCAGGAACTTTATATGTTGTTTTAAACTCATAAAGTGGTTTTGCAGTAGCCTGTAGGACAGGAGAGATGACCTTATTGCAGGAGAATGTGCAAGGCTAAAAAGAGAAGTTGTGTCCATGCTATGCAGTGAGGAGAGCAGTCCCTCATTGCCCCTCAGTAATGTCACCATGCACCACACACTTGTGACGGCGCATGCAGCCGTGCCTCAGGCTGCTCGTGCCGCCTTCTGACTTGTGCACAAAACATTGCCTCTGCAAACGCTGAGGCCAGTCTTAGAGCTAACACTGCATGAAAACATCCCTCGGTGACAATGAGTCAGTCAGTCCCCTTCATTCAGCATTGGTAATGTTTGCCTGTAGCCTTCTGCAAAACCTAGTGGCTCTTGGAATAGTCCGGCTTTGCGCTGACGCAAACACTGAAATGGAAGGAGACGGGAGTTTTTACAATGGTTTTCCAAACAGGGAATGAACGAAGGACCCTTCGCTCAAGGTTGCAATGCTGTCCTTCACTTTATCCTTTGAGACGCTAAGAAAATAGCCTTGGAAAAGCTTTTTAACTCTGTAGTACTGCTGTTGTTTGACCCATTTTGGTTGCTGATGCATAAAAAGCACCCGGAAAAGCTTATTATTTTTTTTTCTCTCTGCTGCTTTATTCACCAAAAAGTAAGCTTGAAAGGATTTTATTTAAACGCTTTCTTCCCTTCTAAATTTTGTGTCTGTAGTTCCTCTGGTCGTTTGTGAAAAAGAAAAATTCATATTGAATTCCTTGTTTTCTTACGCATTCCGACTTGTTATGCTACTGTTGTTTACAAAGACTAAAAGAGGTACTTGAGATTTGTTTTTAAATTAATTGTTTTTCAGATAGTTTAGAAAACCAAGGTCAAAGTTGTTTATTTATGACATCTTTTACAAGTTTATACAGCATCGCATATAAATCATAACGAGTTTGGGCCTTTAAATGCTTGAAGTTAAAGCTGTCATGGTTTTCACTGTTTTCTGTATTGTCTGTTATGTCTGGGTGAAACCTTTACTTGAAATAGTAAAGTCTACGAATATTAGTTTACCAGAACAGTGCAAGACCTGCATGCCCTCTGGTGGAAGCAATCCTTCGCAGACTAATGTACGAAGATCAACTCCTGAGGCCTTGCTTGGTCTGGCTTGTGGACAGAAACTCGCCTTTGATATACTCAGTTACTCAATTAAGTTAGTTTCTCCACAGCAGAGTTTATTAGCTAGTAAGAAGGAAAAGTCTTCTATGAGTTTCTTCCTTCATTAAAGTGTGAACTCTTTCATTTCTTCTCAACCTGTTTCTTGACTTTTTAACCTTGTTTCTTCACTATAATGAAAAGAAAATGAGTTATATGTTGCGTAAAGGTATTGAACTGTATCTCATTGTGGACACAGGTTTTATAGAATTCTGTTCTGCTTTTAAGGAAGTTTACAGGTTCGATACAAGTTGAGTAAGGATGGACTGCTCATCTTCACAATCGACTCTGGAAATTTTGCCAACCGAGAGATGCATCGCGTGAAGATAAACAGAGAAGGCAGAGAGCTCATCATTCAGGTATGTCATGGCTTGTTTTCGGGGCTAGATTCCCATGGGAGATGAGGTCGTTCCTTTGCCCTGTTCCCACGCATGGCCTGTTTTACCGAGGCAGGATGAAGAGGACCATCTTACTGCTCCTCCTGTTTTCCTTCTGAGCCTAATTACTACACTTCAAATTACAAAACAAATTTGCCAGGTCTGGGCCGCAGCCAGTTAACAGAGAAGAGTGGCAGGGACTGAAGAGAAGCCGAGCATTAATAAAAGAAAAGAATGAGAAAGAGAAAGAAACACATGGAGCGCTGTCATTTTCATTCCTTGGCGATATCCATTTCTGGGTGGTAAATGATCCATGGTTAACGCAACAACTAAGATAGGTAGGCCTAATTCTGTAGGAAGGAGGTTTACACTAACTGTCGGGGTTCTCCTCAAGTAGCAGTATTCTATTGTCTGCTGCACCATGGTTTTCTTTATTTATGCAGACCTAATTCTCCACAGTACATTTATAGAGAGGCCTCTTTTGTGCGCACCCTGCAGCACCTAGATTTTGGGAAGCAGGGGAATTTCAGTGTCAAACATTTAAACTTTTAAACTTTTCTACAGGAGGAGTTTCTTTAAAGCCCTTTATGTGACTATTCTCGTGCACCTTTCAACTTCTCATGCAAAAATCAAAGCATATTCACTTGGCTATCTTTAGAAACTGAATCGTGCTTGGGGACAGATTTATTTGCAACTGAGGTTCTTCCCACAAGTCTGCAGGACAAAGGTCGAGGTGTGTCTACATGCTGTTGTAATGAACTAATTGTACTGACCTCTTCCAGGTTGATCAAGTTATCAAACTCAAACACAACTTTTCTGAGATTGATTTTAAGGCCATCAAATCTCTTACTTTGGGCAAGGTCACAGGTAGGTTTTACTAAAAACATTCCTGAGTCATCGTTTATAATAGTGTTTGAGTTAACCTGGGTTGTGTGCTGGCTTTTCAATAGAATTGGGGTGGGTTTTTTTTGTGTGTGTGGCTGATTTAGCTGCAGGGGTTATCCTGAGCAGTCTACTACTCTTACTTATATAGCTCATCAGTGCAAAAATTTGGCAGCTTTACTTATTTGTACTCATAGCAATGTTAGCTTCTCCCATTGCTCACTCCAGTAAAGTGACTCATATTGCCTGTGTGGCTGCACAGGGTGGCATCTTGGCCTAATGATATCATTTTGCTGACTGTAGCTTGCTTCTCTGAAGCCATTTCTGTTTCCTAATGATAAGAAGAACAGCGCTGTGAGCCTTCATCCTCTCTACCCTTATTGCACGCCCTGTCCTTTTCTATTTGAATTCTGCAAGGAATATTTTTGTTACATATAGCACTGAGGGCACAATTTTGCCTGCTCTGTGCATGTACGTTTTTTGAATTTACCCTTTCACACTAAAAAGCTATTACAAGACTGGGAAAACTTTGCCAGGAATTTGGAAATTACAATCCTATTTTGCTGTCACGTTATGTCTTATTTCTTTATATAAGTAAGTCTCATGCATTCCCAGTAAGATTCTAAACATTTCCTTGGTTATAAAGATTTTGGTCCTTTGTTAGAAGTGGACCTCCATACGAAGCTTGTCATCTGTTTCACTACTTCAATTTATATGCTTTATTAACAGCACCCACAGCCTCTAGGACTGGTAGCTAGACAGAAATAATAATGTCCTCTAACGTCTACTACAGTGCAATTGTATATGATGACATCAGTGCATTTTGCACTGTGTAGGTTAAAGACAGAAACTGCTTTTCCTCTTTAGTAGAACTTGCGTTTGTCTAAAAAAGCAGCAAGCTTTCTAACCTTTGTGGGCAGGTTTGAGAACCTGACACTTTTCAGCCCAGGGAAGAGCTGAACTAAAATCTCATTTTGTCAAGTTTCATCTATAGTGCTGAAGAGGAGCCTCATATCATGACCCTTGCATACAGTTCCACCTATAGATAACCAATCAATAAAACTAAGACTTAATAACCAGCAAATGGAAAATAGCACAAAGACCTTGAAAAATGTAACCAGAAAATTTACAAGGTGCACCTCAGCCTCATGGGGGAAACTAGATGTAGCCACAAAACTAGGAGTACTTTTACAAGTACAAGTTTCTTGCAATGTCAGAGAGCCCAGGTGTATCTCTAAGGGTTTGGCACTCACACTGAACACCACAGATTTGCCTCCAGATAACTTTTAATGCATATGTCCTTCCCCATTTTTTTTGTCTGTTCTCCAAGGTTTCTAGATATTTTCTATTAGTAATAATAAGGTAGCAATAATTTTATGTAATGGCACTAGAGCCATAAACTTGCTCATCCAGTTGACTGGAGATCTTATTGCTGTACCAGGAATCACATAATTAATCCCAGAAAGTCAATTTAATTTCACCCTAATCCTAGATCAGGTTTCTTCTTCACATATTAAATGAACTTCCTCAGACTTTACTCTTTTGTGTCAGGATTTCATTTGCCAAGTTAAATCTCACAGCTATGCTAAGGAGAGTCTTCATACCTTCCCAGAATAGCACTTCAAGGGCCCAGTGCTCTCTCAACCTTTCCTCATAGAAAGGACACTCCTGTTCTTTAATCATCTGTGTAGGCCTTTGCTGGACTCTGCAATAAATCTGTCTTCTGCTGGGAAACCTAGAACTGGACCCTATACTCTAGTTGCACAAAACCCTCAAGTTGCAGGGTACAAGCCTCCAGCTTCTCATGTCTCTAACAGCAGCCTCTGAACAAGCTTTGAGCCAAGCATGATTCCTACCTGTAGCTTAGCAAAGGCTTAGGGAAAAAAAAGGAGAGAAATTTAGGAGCTAGCTGACTCTACTGAAATTAGAAATCTTGTATAGCACAACCACTTCACACAATCCAAGGCCTGAGGTTTTGGTTTTTTGCATATTTTCTTTTAATAGATTATGTTTCAAGTTCATGCAGAACCATATAGGGCTGGCAATGTTGTGACTAAAACTCAAACATCAAAAGCTTCGACGTCATAAATTTCACACTGCAATTCAAAACAGAGTTTCATTTTCAATGACAAGCTATCATCTATCTTTTAGAAAACATACCAATTGCATGGCTGAAATTATCTCCACTAAGTGTAATGAAACAAAGATCTCAAATCTTCCTCTTGGCATTACATATTTAATTGCTAGCAAGCAAAACCTGGAATGTTACACCCATTCCTGGTAAAACATGGGTGATCAAGTACTTTTACTTTCTTCTCATTGTCCCTTCCTGTTTCAGAGCTATTTCTGAAGTACATTTCATAACTGGTACCCTACTTCTTGCTAAGCACAAGGTCCTCGTAAGGAAGAGGAAGACCAAGTTTTTTCTTCAAAAAAAAAAATTGGGGGGGGATGAACAGTTTAATTATGCAACAGCTCAAAAAAAGTTCTCTTAATCCCGCTCCCCTGTACACAAGTCATTCAACATAACACAGTTACATCCTGTTATTTCAGATATACATCATCCACATAAGGATTCAGAGGGGACCACACATCATTCACCTCCAGGTTTTATAGGATTCTTGTTGAGTGCAGTGAAAGGCCCATTTTCTGAAAGACCCGAAGTCTTAGAAATCTGTCTGCATACATGGCATTTTTACCAGAAGGCTTCTGGGGTTGTTTTCAGTTTGCTCTTGGATATTTTTTTCTTAAACCCCTTTTTCCTCTTAATTTCAAAACCTTCTAACAACAAATCTTTCTCATTCATGCAAAGAATACTTTGAAAACAGATGATGGGAATTGGCCCTTAATTTGACTTTTAAAACAAGCCTTCAACAGTGCTCTTAGACTTCTCAAGCTACTGTACCATAAAAAACAAATTCAATACTTTGTACATTTTAGCTTTTGCACACTGGGGCAGAACAGAACAATTTAGATTGCCTGATGCCTGAAAGACACCAACAAATCCACTGTTTGTGTCTAAGTTAATAAAAAAGGAAATGCTGAGAGTACTAGAGTACTGATGTTTACAAAGGTTTTCATAAATTCAACGATGACAAATACTGCAAACTGGACATTTTTTATTTTATATGAACCTTCACATAGAAACTTGGAAATGACCCTTTGTCTGCTTTGTAAGACCTCCACCAGAATCTCATTAAAAACCTGAATGCATTATTTTCCAATGCACTGAGGGGAAAAAAAAGAAACAATCCATACAAGGCTACAGGGTTTTTCCAGTGTCAAAGACTTACCTTCACATCTCTCTGGCAGTTGTTCAGTCACTCCCAACCCAGAGATTGTCCTCATAACTCCTCTGGCAGCCAGAGTTCATCCAACTGAGATTTTCCCCCCATGACAGTCTCGAGAGGCAAACCTTACACCATACCTTGCTTCGCTGAGATACAGCCAAATTCGTTCACATTAGTCTAATCTTAGTTAATCTCTCTTTCTCAGCTTGTCCCCTCTGCCTGCATGACATCATGTATACAGATCCTGAGTCCCAAAATTAACATTTTGAGATGGCTTAGTATGTTCTTACACATAAAAGATGTCTATGTTACTCAGGTGGCAAAATCAGTTTTAAAGATCTAAGAGGTGCCCAACTTTTTTCCTAAATTCTTTTGGCTGAAATTTTGATAGTAGAAAAACTGGACTCCATTTTAATGTTTAACATTTTTCAAGCTATGAAAATAAGTATCGTCTGAACTACTTACTTCCCTAGTTTTCAATGCTAGAGTACCTTCCACAAGCAGGTAGCTTCTAAGGTTTTGAGTAACTACTGATACTGTTTTTGTACACATGTAGGTTTTGTCTTGTTTTTAGGTTTTTTTCTCTCCTTTCCTTTTTTAATTGACCTTGCTACAAGGCACACTGTACCTTGTAGATCTCTTAGCAGTACGAATTCAGATTTCTGGAAAGTAAATAAAAGCTTGGAGGAAAGGAAGGATGGCTTCAATGTCCTTTACCAGCTTACCAAGAGAACCTTTGATATTAAATAAAAGAACCAAATTTAAAAGGCATACTTTGGAACTTACTTTGTCTTTGTGAAATTTAAATGAACGCAGTTTAGTTGCACCATCTCATCTTCAGGATGGAAAAGAGCACAGAGGCCCTAGTTCAGCTTTGGATGTAAAGTAAATTAAGAATCGTTTTAATTTTTGTTGTCTTAGTGAAATAGGACTAACAAATATTATGACAGCCTAACTCATAACTTGGAAGATTCTTAACAACTCAGCTTATAAAAATAACAAGTGCTGATGCTACTGACATGATTAGGTAGACTGGAAACATAAGTTAAAGAATAGACACCAAGAGAAGAGTCGAAGCCTATATTAGTAAGCTATTTAATACTGAGCCAGATGAACTGATCTTTAATAGACAATAGAGAGTAGGATTCTTCATGAAAAGAGTAGAGGAAGTAGAATACCTTAAAGATTTATCTGTGAAACTGGTGCTATTATGTTATCCAAAAGCTGAAGAGGATCATCTCACCGATTTGGTGACATTCGCTGCTGTTATTTTTACTATTTATTACTGTTTTTTAATTGCTATTATTGTAGTGATTCACATCTACAGTGTCTTTACATACTGTCAAGTCAGCAGAAAAAAGGGATAAGAAAAGAAACGTAATACAGTCTTTTGTTCAAGCCATCTTGATAGTAAGCCAAGGGAAAACCTAACAATTTGAGATTAAATGAAATAAAGCAATCAATACAATAAAAGAATTAATAATTTTTTAACCTATCTTCCTAAAACTGACAATCCCCAGACCATTTTTCTGTTGTGTCGCAGACAGTTTAACAATGGACCCTGAAGTCTCAAAGGCAAATGCCTACGGTTTCACTGGCTGCATGTCTTCTGTTTGGTATAACCACATCGCTCCCCTGAAAGCTGCTTTACGCCATCCCAGCATTGCTCCTGTGACAGTCAAGGGTTCCTTGACTGAATCCAGCTGTTCATCCCTAACAGAAGCTGACGTGAACACAGCAACCACCATATATTCCTCTTCAGGTACGTCCTTGCAAGAGGAGAAATGGAAATTAAAAGAATACCGGAGTGTGAGATTCCCTTTGTTTTTTACTGTAATGCAGTTGTGAGAGTGTTATAAACGCTGGAACTGCTAAGTTACTTTCTCTAGGAATTTTAAGTGTTAAGAATGGGCATTAAGATTAGCCAATGCTGCTTTAGAAAGACCACATTTTCTCAATAGCGAATAGAAATACCAGAGTCATAGCATTCACAGCATCTGAAATATGGTTATATGCCTCATTGGCCATTCCCATCCACTCTAGGTAGCTCCAGTGCTGTGGATCTCAAAGGAAAACATAAACGTTACACAGATTTCATATCCCAGTGGCGATCAGCAATAGGAATCTTATAACAAACAAGGCAAATCTGTTCCCGCTCCAGCAGAAAGGAGGAAAAAACCCTTTGTACAAACCCCTTGACAGATACGTATGACATCCACTAAACGCCCATACTTGATTCTCTCAGGCAAATGAGAAACAACAGCACTGGAGCGTTAACAGTAAGGCAATTCCAACAGTTCGTTTATGTCTTTCAATCCTGAGACTGGCCTCTGGGACTCAGAAGTATTTTACATACACAAATTTGTATGCAGACAAGGAGACTCACAGCAGCTGGGAACATCCTCACCACTAACAGGGGCAACTGAGTTGCCACTTCAGTCACCAGCAGATGCAGCAAAAATCCTAACAACCAGAAATGGGTACACATTTAGAGATGGTTTTTACCCCTTGAGCTCTGAAGCTGCTTGGTCTTCTGAGAACTATTAAATGATTATATATCATGATTCCTTTTACATTTGTACTTGCATCAAATCTCCTTTTCCTGCAGCTTCTACTTAAGATATTTAACAGAAAACAAATTATGTTATTTTGCATTCTGCATAGATAAAGAGGCTGCCGATTTCTGAGTGCACACTGTACATGCCGATTCCCACCTCCAGTTCTCTTCCCTCCACCCAGTGGAGTCTGAATTGTCTGCTGTGAAGTACACAAGAAACGTGCACCACAAATATAAAATGGGCAGTAACAATACTGATCTCCCCTCTTTATAAGGTTTAATTTGACATGCATATGTTCATCTACAAACATAGGTCAGAGCTACAGCCTTCACATCTTCCGCTTCTTTCTGGTATCTCTTCTTAGGTATTATAAAAAAAAAAAAACAAACTATGACTGAGTAAAGCTCCCAACATGCTTATTTAGCTCAAATTTCTAACAGTGATTTCACTACAAATACACTGAGAAAACACTTTCAGGTGTTAGAGTAGTTGTAAGCTTTTCCGTTTCCTCTTAAATACATCTTTAACAGTGAAGATGTAGAAGAAGTTTGTCCCGCAAGCTTAGAGACCTTTCTGGTTTGATTTTTCAATATCCCAAATTACATCTTCTGAAAAAAGGTTACAATTCACAAGAGTAAGAGGACACTTCTATCTAAGCCGCATTAAAAAAATGAAGTAGTTGATAGAAATAATAGATCTTGTTCCATTTAATGAACTGCAGATCCGTTTGGGAAGACAGACGAAAGGGAGCCACTCACCAATGCCGTCAGAAGCGACTCTGCTGTGATTGGAGGTAACAATTTTTAAAGATTACAATCAAAAAATAATTGTCAGATGATAGAAAACACTTATCTAATGCACATCTATTATTTTCTTGGTACATACCTATAACCAAGCTACCTAGATAGGAATGTACGCTGTCAATTAAGGCAATGATGGGTCTCGAGCAAGTTAACCAGCAACTGCTTTGTGCACCACACTGATTAGAGCCTCAACACCTTATTCACACATCCTCTACTCCTTGAGCTCTCTATTTGCAAGTTGGTGTTATGGAGGAGCTTGCTAGATCATATGGAAGCATCTGTATACGAGGGAAAGTTGTCTTTATTGCTTCATGTAGGGTTTTCATTTTGCTTTAACAACTTGGAAGGCAATTTATCTCTGTTTATTTTATAGGACGCCCTGTAGGGAGCTGCCTTTGATAATATCAAGAAGCTATAAACCTAAGCGTACAAGGCTCATGCCAACTTTCAGAGATAACACAGGAGAAAATACGACAGAGCAGGGATTTGTTTGAGCATACATATCTAGTTTTGTTTTTTTTTCAAATAAACAAACACACTGATACAACTTTGTTTCTAGTGAAGTTAGAAGTTGATCCAAATCAGAAGGTCAATTATATCAATGCTTACTGTCCATGTCACCCAAGTAGATAAAATTCAAATACAGAAAATCAAGAAGAGCACGATAGTCCGTATGCAGTCTTCTGTCTCTAAGATTCATTGTTCTATCATATCCTCTAAACTGATATGCACTGGTAATGTATTTTTGACATAATTGAGTCTTTATTTTTGCATTTTACCCTTTCTACCCTTCCCTTTTTTTTTTTTTTTTTTTTTTTTACTTCTCCTCAGGTGTAATAGCAGTTGTGATATTCATCATCTTTTGCATCATCGCCATCATGAGCAGATTCCTCTATCAGCACAAACAGGCACATCGAAGTAGCCAAACAAAGGAGAAGGAATACCCAGAAAATCTTGAGAGCTCTTTTAAAGCTGACACTGACTTGCAGAACACAGTGAGCGAGTGCAAACGAGAATATTTTATTTGATGGACAATGCAATTTCTTTTTACTCTTACTCCCCTGAACTTCCTTCCTCCCTTTCTTTCTTCCCCCTACTCTTCCTTCCCCCCTCCCCACTCTTTTTTTTTTTAGACGTTCATTTTTTCGCTTAATTTTTTATTTGGGAAAGATCACCCTGCAAAAGAAACACTGACAACAATCACAGTGCCTCGTTCTCAGCATAACAACCTGGCAATCGCAGTTTACTTCTGCAGCTCAAGAGACCTGTTATCCCACTCTAAACAAAGTTAGATCCACACACGCACCTGGTTTCTGCTGTGACTTCCTGGATGTTCTGAAGTCCCTTCTTTAACTCTTGTGTTTGTTGTGTTGTATTTTTTTTCCCCCCCACTCTTGGACCAGTTGTTTCATCTCATTTACAATAGAGCTTGACTACGTAAGTAGCTGAGTACATAGCTCTACAAATACTGGGACAGGAGAGAGGGAAAGAATGAGACCAAACCACCTGACTTACTTCACAGGCTTATTTACAAGAGCTGTAACAAACCAGAACAATTCTCAAATGATACGAACAGACATATCTCTATTGATTTCAGCGGTCACATTAATTTATACCAGTGAGTCACCAGTAAGAGGTAACGAAAAATAAAACTGTCTTTCTCATTTAAGCTCCTTCCCCCAACCTCCTGTCCTTTTACTGTAACTTTTAGGCTTACTGATTCTTTTCCAAGAATGTATGTATCAACAACCAATATCATTCCCGTACACTTCTTTCACCTCCATCTCATAAGGCTGGCTTTGTAGACCCGACATACTCTAGCATATCTCTAGCTGTAGCATGGTAAATAGTAGCTTGAATCTCCAAGGGTTTTAGGAAGCTGCTAGGACTTAGGTGCACTATATTTGTCTGAAATGTTATAAATGCAGCATATGTTTGTGACATATGGGGGATTATCACATGCTGAGGTTGAACACTGTTACCATTGAGGCAAACAAAATACACAGAAGGAAAAGTAGAAATAGTTTTATCTTAAATGTTATTCGCCAGTTATTAAAATAAAAAAATAATTAGAAACAATAATTCCTAGTGCTCAAAAAACCCCTGCAAAAACTGCATGAAAGATTGAGCAATAGTTCTTTGTAGAACTTGTAATAACCACTCCAAAGCTAAACAGAGGTTTAATATTATGTCTTAAAAGGTTAATATTTAATCAAGCCTATTAAATCTGTGAAAAAATCCCAAATGCTACAATTAAGACAAACAGTAGAGAAGATTAAAGTCTTCTGTCCTTTCCTGACTGGGAACAATACCGAAGGCTCAAATCCTGCCCATTTTAATTGTGCTGCATAGCTTTAGTATGAGCCTCAAAAATCTTTTTAGTCATAGATGTTGTAACACTAGGGAATTGAGAAGTCCCTCCAAGGTGAGGTATTTCACACCTCACCTATTTTCTCCACAGGGCTGCTGAAAAGTATTTAGAATTTGCTGTCAGACACCTGCATCTGTATTTGAGTCAATTCATTTAAAGCAACCCCTGTACGAGCCAACTCTGACAGCCTAATGTTCTTAATAAGCTTTATGAAGAAAAGAACTGGAAGGAAGGGAAAGCATACAGGTACATTTTTCTTGCCCCATAAAACTATCTTTCTCCATTCAGACTGATAGACACAAACCATCCTTCTGTTTTGCTACATGTTTGTAGAATTTTTATTCCTACAAACTAAGTGCAACTATAGAGTGCAAAACACAGTGGAATGGCTAGAGAAGGGACACTAAGCAATGAAACACAGTCCTCTCATTTTTCAAGTGACTAGATCGCTTTCAGCCATCAGAATCAGAGCCCAATTCTGCAATATGCTTAAATTTCTCAAGGAGGATTGAGTTCCCATCACCAAATGTAGATATGAGCATTGCTGTAAACATTTCAGATATGGTTCAGTGGCTCAGTTCTGGGAGAGGTGTAAGTGGTATGCTATGTGCAAGCACACACCGGCAAAACAGTGTGTCATATTTATTTTTCCTTTCCCTCATTTATTATAGTCCAGACTGGTAAAATTTCTTGACAATTTTGCTATATCAGTGTGCTTTTGTAAAGAAAAAGAACTGCACATATATAAATGCATGCACAAGTATAAAGAAACACATGCATCTGTAGCCATGGATGTAATGAGCGTGAATGTTTATATGCTACATAGCTGGATAAAAGAACACTTTTATAGAGGTGTGCATATAAGATCCTGCTTTTAAATCAGGTTGTTGATGCTCTTCTAACTAAAAAAAAAAAAAAAAAAAATAGGTAAGAAGTACTAAATAAGGTAAACCTTAACATTATTTATTTCATTTGTTTATTTATTTTATTGCAGTGCTTTCTCTAGTGAAGGCATCATTGGTTTATTTTAGTATCAGTTAGTGACAATGAAAATTATAGGAAATAAATACAATTTTTCAAAAATCTCCCAATGTTAAGACTGCCTTCTTTTTCCACAGTTCAAATTAAACGCCTCCTTAACCCCCCCATAAGTTCAGAACCGCTCATGCTATTTTTATTAAAAGGGCTTTAATACAAAGGTGGGGGGAGGTTATTCCCTGTTTACTGAAAGCTAGGATGATAGTTAAAAGAAAACATCAAGAAATTTCTACATATACAGTGTCAGAGCTTATTTTAACATAAAACCAACAAGCACTAGAGGTTTTAGGAGGGTTTCTGTTAGGGAAATAGAACAAAAACTATTCCACAAGAAAAGCCTCAGAGAATGTAAGGGGAAATCGGAAGGATCCCAAGGCCCTTTTTTCTTCTAGAGTTCTGTAACCTCTGCAAATTATTTTTTCTAGCTATTTTTAGGCTACCAAATACCAAAATATGGATTTAGGCACTGCAAATTCCTACTTCCCAGAAATGACTTAGCCAATAATAGCCACACTTTGTACATCTGCTTTGCTGTGAGATGTTAAGGACCTCTGAAAATTGAATCTCATTTCTCTATTAGAAATAAAGCATTAGTCCAAATAACCAGCAGTGTAATTTGCAGCAAGTTTTTCCACTGTCCTTATTCACCTACTGGAGAAAAGACTACAAGTGTCTGGAGCGCATTTTTAACATGCATACCTTCCCCACCCCCCCTTTTTCTTGGCATGGCACTACAATGACGACTAAACCAAACAGGAGACAGGCTTTCAACTCAGACTAACTAAACTCATTTGGGTGAAAGTAGCTTTGAAAAAAAAAAAAAACAAAAAACATTTAGAGCTATTCTAAGATTAGCTTCAATCACAAGACTCCCCTAACTCTTACTTACCTTAAAATAGATGACCAAATATCAAAGATGAGATGCATCTTCTCTTCCATTTTAACTAGATCTTGCCAGACTGAACCCAGCCCATTTATCAATCCCTAGGTTTTCATAGCATAGGCCAAAACATTCAAAGAATGACGTTTGCTACATTAGCATTTAGCTGATCGTACATTTGGTGAGGAACAATCTGCGGAACGTGGTTTCGCTAGACTGAAGGGATGTGAATCTTCACATAATGAAGTCCGCCAATGTTTTTCTTAGTGTAGGATTGAGCCCTAGGCCACCAGGAACTCAAAGACTGTCTTTGAGTCTTTTTGTTTTGGTTGGCATTTGTTTTCACAGGCTTTGTTCCATACTTAAGTCAGTGAGGACAGCAAACTTTTCACACTTAAAGATGAAAGATTAGGCTCCAGAGGTGCATCTCTCTCTCTACTGATCGTAGAGAGAGAGGAGGATCCTGGCAATAGGCTAGCTATGTATACCATTTGCCTATATAAAGGAATCTTGAACCCTCACAGCTCCAGTAGATGCATCTGCACAAGGCTTGCAAGAAACGCATTCCTTTCAGAGGTGCCAGCTGGGAGCTGGTATCCAAAACTACCCTAGGCATCTCTGGTTAGGAAATGCCTGTGTCTGCTTATAGCAGAACACATGAAAGTAATGTGTCAAAGCACCCTTTTGAGTCAGTAATCCTGTCAGTAGTCCGGAGTTCAGATCTGTCTTCAATCTATTCAAGATCCAGAATCCACTCGCTGATTAGTATGGGAGCTTTGACAAATAGCATACGTGTAAACAGTTCTTCACATTTCATAATCTAGAGCTAAATCAGATTGCCTAAGCTGCCTTCCTACCCATGTAGGTCTGGTGCCATTTGAAATAAACTAGATTTTCTGTGCAGCAGCAGAATGAATGAGAGTTTCCTGCCTGACACGTCTGTTGTCTGCTAGCCCCAAGCAGATACATCACTGATGGCTGGTGGCTTTTCACATTACTGTAAGCATCCATCCAGAATCCACAACTTCTAAATGAGATGAACCCTTGAAAAAACCCATATTCAGAACAAAAATCAGCCTTCTTTCCTATCGCTGTAAGCCAATTGGTTGAAGTACTTTCTTTACCCTGGATAGCAGAGGCAGGATTTGACTCCTTCAGACTCTGCCATCTCCTGCCGTTGTTGTTTCTTGTCTTCACCTACACTAAGTTTACACTGAAAATGAATTTTGACTATTGTTTTGCACTGCTACCTTTTCACAAAGTCTCTTTTTATTATTATTTTTCAGAAAGCAATGCTGTGTAAGAGAGTTGAGCAGAAGCTGAGAGCTTGTGAGGCTCTCTAAGACAAGTGCTATTTCAAAGCTTTCATGCAGTTTTGCAATGCTTACTTATCAAACAAGCTGAGTAGTACAGCTACATTCCTACCAAAACAAAAGGCCTTATCCAGAGCTCTTTGAGGTTGGTGGGAGACCTCTTGGTTGACTACAATTAGAGTTGCACTGTGCCCCTTGGTGTTTTCTTGACAAGTTACTCCCTCAGCCATGCAGTTTCAAAGTATAATTTGTTTCTTTTGGATCTGAACTTTGTTGGGCTTCCTTTTCCAATGAAAAGTTCTCCGTGTCCCCTTTCAGCGCGAGTCCCCTTTTCTGTGCTCCTTTTGTACATGAAACTTCTAAACAAGCTCTTTGGGGTCTGAAAAGTCTTTTCTTTCTCCCCTTCAGTTGTTTATTTTGAACCATGCCTATAGGACTCTGGATATTGCTACGTATCAGTACTTATTTTTGTGATCTTTTGCACTA